GTTATATAAGTGTTCTTCAGGGAATAAGACAACTGACAATACATTCAAAATAAGGAAAAGAAGCATATTTTTACATCGTATGTTTATCTTGCGTTTCCTGAATTTTGATAGCTTGTTGAATATACATAAAATACAGGGTACAGGGTGGCCAAATGAAAACGAAACAGAGCCATTTCCAGGAACTGCGTCAAGATTGTAGAAAAACGTTCAGACCCGTCGATTTTATATTAAAGGGGGACATTCTTTGCAGGTATTTTTGACGCCGCCACTTTCACCCCCAAGCAAGGGTAAGGATCACCCCAAAATATTGAAATGGCATTGGAGGTTGAGTAATATGTCTTTTGAAAGCTCTTACAATTCTCTTTACAACAGACTTTTAATTCCGCCCAGTACTTATTAAGAATTTTGATTTTAAAGTTGAAACTTATGTACAAACAATTAGTAACGCTAAAAATGTCAGTCATTCGAGTTATGTACTCCAATGGTATAAATTTAGTATTTCTTCAAATTTTATAATTCCGCCCAATACTTTGAAAAAAAATTACATGTTAAAATTTAAATTATGTTTAGTTGCTTACTTGCTCTTAGTTAATTAAATGTTTAAATTGATGTCCGCCCTCATCCATACAAGAATAAAGATTTTGTTCGAAACGTTGGCGCACATTCCGAACCATTTTTGGAGTGTTTCGACGGCATTCGTCGACGATTCTTTGACGCAAATCTTCCAGCGACGCTGGCTGTGTTTTGTAGAATTTACTTTTTAGGTATCCCCAGAAAAAGAAATCCGGTGATCGTGGAAGCCACTCTATACTGCCTCTTCCCCCAATCCAATTCCGTAGAAAACGTTGGTCCAAATACTGACGGACAATTAACGCATAATGCGGAGGAGCACCGTTCTGTTGAAAAATCAAATGAACTTCATCATACTCTGGAACATTTTCAATAATATCATTCAAGGCAGAGTCAATAGCGTCTTCCAGTAATTGCAAATACATTTGGCGAGTCAAATTATCAGATAGAAAAAAAGGACCCACCAGTCGGTCACCGAAAATTCCAGTCCATACATTTAATTTTTCCGGTAGAATCGGACCAATAGCGACAATTGTGATCCATTCAAGAAAAAACTGCATTCATCAGAAAAACAGATGTTAAAAAGAAACTGTGGATCGTTCCCTGCTCGCTCACTAATTATTTCGCAAAATTACAAACGGAGGTCATAATCATCCTCATAAAGTTCCTGGACTAAATGTATTTTGTATGGATGGAATTTATTCTTCAAAATGGTTTGTATGCTAGTTAGATTGATCCCAGACACAGATGCCAGCTGACTCGTACTTAATGTAGGATCAAGATGAACTTGTCTCAAAACTGCAACTTCACTAGCTTCATTAACTATAGGTTTTTCAATTTCTCGTTTTTTATTGACTACGTTCCCTGTCTCTTGAAATATTTTTACTAACTCTAGAACATACTTCCTCCTGACATGTCGATCTTTATGTTGTTCATTAAATAGCTGGGCTATTCTATTCGCAAATTTGTTATTCATAAAGTAAAGCGAAATGACATCTACCCTTTCCGCAATGGAATAAACCATATTGTTTAATTTTCAAAAACACAATTAAATAAACTACCAACCAACGCTTCCAAATAATACTAGAAAATAATTTGGAATCCACTAATTTTACGTTCATTGTGTGTGTATAGCATTCATTTCTGTTTTTTACAATTCTGTTTTTTTTTCTACGAAAGTGATAATAAATCGCCAAAAACCTATGTAACCCAAGAAATACTAAATTTATACCATTGGAGTACTTAACTCGAATGACTGACATTTTTGCCGTTACTAATTGTTTGTACATAAGTTTCAACTTTAAAATCAAAATTCTTAATAAGTACTGGGCGGAATTAAAAGTCTGTTGTAAAGAGAATTGTAAGAGCTTTCAAAAGAAATATTACTCAACCCACAATGCCATTTAAATATTTTGGGGTGATGCTTACCCTTGCTTGAGGGTGAAAGTGGAGGAGTCAAAAATACCAGCAAAGAATGTTCCCATTTAAACTAAAAACGACGGGTCTGAGCGTTTTTTACAATCTTGACGCAGTTCCTGAAAATGGCTCTGTTTCGTTTTCATTTGGCCACCCTGCATGTAGCTTGTCTGGACTAAATAAAACTAAATATGAATGACAATTCTCATTTTAGTAAATATATTATATCTAGGTCGATTTTCAATTAATCTAAACGTTGGTGACAACTAAATATTCATACGACCTACTTAATAGAAATGAAATTCGTTAAATAACTCAGTATACAACAATTTTATAATTGTGAAACTACAACGACTACTTTTTGCCAGACAAGTCTGTTCTGTCAGACCAACCTGAAGCAGAAATAATTGCTAGAGACATAATACTTTGCTGCTATGTTATGCCACTCACTTTCTACAAATCGAGCTTCGTCATTGTCAAAATGTGTATATGCGAGTTACATACAAATCGTTTAAATTCTAGAGGTTAAATAGCCTGAATAAATCACGTCTGGCTAACCTGCAATAACACCTTTGGTGATGATCTATAACCTTAAAAAAGATGGAATTAAAATTAACTTATATTAAAATAAAACTATAACAATATAATGGCAAACGCTTTTCTGGATCTGTCCCTATATTTTTATATCCATAAATCTAAAATTAACTACTTTTCTGCAATACTCTTCAGGAAAAGGAAGTATGCAGTGATATATGGTGACGATTGAACTGTATACACATAGGTATTGTGGGACACGAGTGAGATATTTCAGAACATAATAGACATAAATTTGAATCAATATAGACAATTTATGACGGGAAACTTACTGCCAGAGATAAAATATATCTCAATAAATCCGTATTAAAGCACTCACTAAGCTTTTTTTTCAAGAAATATAGTTAAATGTCCTCCATATTTTCTGTTGACAAGGATAAGGTTTCTGTATTATTTATTTGTTCCTTTATATATTTTAAATTAAACCAATTATTTTAGGTCTAAGTCGAACAATCTCAGACTTTCTGCTTCAATGATAACCAAATAACAACCATAGGTTCTGTAATAAAGTAAAATTGCCTAAATTTGACAATTTTATAACTGGTTTAAGTGAAATAAAACATACTTTGTTCTGTTTCTGTACTTCGTCATATCACGAAAGGAAAAATACATGTTTCCAATACACTAAGGTATATAATAACCATATTGCCCATATTACTGAAAGTTTGACATTCACTGTTTGTTATTTAACAGTCTCCACACTGATTTTAATAAAACAATAACAAATCTGTTTGCAAATGTGTTATAATTAATGGGAATATACCAGCCATATATTAACAAAGTAGGTAAGGATGTTTTTTCTTATAAATATTACATAATTCATTTTATTTTATATTATTTCTAACATCTGATTTGTAACAAAGTATCTACATCAAATATATATAAAAAATATTTTTAAGATTTCGCTCCAGCAGAAAAAAGAACATGATTTACATAAAAATTGATTAAAAATTCTCATCTTAAATCTTGATTAAATTATTATTTTGTCTCTCATTCATAAATACATATAAAGAAATAGGTACTCATAATATCTAACCATTTCTCTAAAGTTAATAAAATGTACAGACATTTCATAAACTTAACCTCATTGTTTGTTGTTTATTGTTTTGACGCCTAAGTGGATCTATTTCTACAAAATGCATCATTCTTTGTCGAATCGGAGCAAAATAATAAATTATAGGTAGATTATCCTAGAAGCAGAGATAATATAATAATTTTTTAATACCGCAATATATCATCTAGCGAAAAAGTGATTATGTCTGTGGATAGTTATATGAGTGGCAAGAGTACAAAGTAGGACATCGAACAGTTTTTATCTGTTATACGATTATGTATATTTAACACCAATAAAGTCCATTTATAAATGATTTAACAGATATGAATAACAGATTTTAGTTATTTCAAAGTGTAATTTCAGGCATTAAATCACATTTCGGCCTATTTGTTTAGATCTTAAACTGATTAGAGAAGTTTAAGTCAATTTGTCATGCAACTTCACAAATAGAAAATAATTACAAATCATAAATTTAATTCTAAAAGAGGCACGTTGCACAATCCGCTTAAAATCTAAATTAAGGGTTACAAATATTTATTGTTTCAAACTCAAGTTTAACATTTTATTGGCGTGGCAAAAAACTAATTAATCATGTGGAATTTTGCTTGAAGGGAATACTGTTCCATTTTATAAATAGGCGTTTTTACGGTTTGTTTCTTTGGATTTACTTATCTTTTATATACTTATTTTTATATATCTAACTGTAAAAAAATTAAATAGGTACCTCGTCGAGCAGTGTGCAATAATTTCAAAACATTTTTGTCTAAAAAACTTTTATATCTAACTAATTGGGGTAAAACGTGGCAGTTTCTAAGTTTTATCGTTAATATTCTATTTTTTAGAAGTTTAATTATTTAAACTTAGTTTTTGACAGACGTTCCAGTTTTGCAACAATAGACACAAGAATTACTGCAATAAATTTCTTTGCCTTAAAATTCTTATTATAAAATAAAAAGAGATTGTACGTTTTTCTAGTCTTTGCAAAATTAACGGCCAATTATTGACTATGACTACAATAGGTATAAACGCTATAACTTATCAAACAGTTAAAACAGATATTACCTTTGTTTTATTTACTTCAAACTAAAACATAAATGTATTGTAATTGTGTAATTAATATGTTCTTTAAGTCAGTGTCATTTATAGGTATTTGTCGTGATTAGTTGAAAAATATGTTAATACAACTTCATATACTTTAATTGTTTTTGGTACAAGTTACATAACAGCAATTGTTGAGATAAAAAAAAACAAAATTCCTTTCCTGATTAAAAAACCTGCGGCATATCGAACTAATTTCAGAAACAGGTTCTAAGATAACATTATTAGAGTAACACCATTACCAGTTATTCCAATAAAAAAAACATACCGTTCACATAATCCAATTGAACGGGAGTAATTTGAGCGCAAGACCTATTTGTAGCACAAGTCAGATCACAGAACCACCCTGCACCGCCAGAACGGAAGAAAATCCACCACCGGACAGTTTTCCGATGAATGAAACCGTCAAACGACAACAAAAACAAAACGACCACGCCACGCACAACGTGATATCGAGTTAGATCAGTCTGGAACGCGGGTACTCGGGTACATTCTTCTCGGGTACCGGCAGAAAGACGGTCGAAAGGCCGACTTAAGTCACATAGCACCGCTGAAGTCAGCTGAGCTAGCGGGAATGCGAGAAAACGAGCGGAGCGACGTTGCCGGATCCCGTAATAGTGTCGAGATATGATACTGCAAATTATAAGCTTTTCTTATCTGTTCCGCTGCAGAATTTCTCCTTAAGGATGGTACGGAAATCTTAATCATTTGCGAGATGATAGTAATTCTAGTGTATCAATGTAACACTATAAATTATAGTTGCAGATAAAATTACCGCATATTTCCATTTTGCAAGGAGAAATTTTTTATAAACTGAGTTAATTATACTTTCTGAACAAAACGATTTCCTAAGAATGTCCCTCCTACAAATATTAAATACAAAAGAAATCGTAAATTGTTAACCGCAAGTGACTTGACCTACATTAGCATGAGATTAAAAGATGTATCTTCAACAATGGATGCAAAAGATACCCTAATCGTGCGAGGATTAAATAACCAATTTTCCGTACGTAAGATCTCGCAAATGTTCTTTCAAAAGATCAGAAACTGTGGCCATGTTAACCTGATCAGTAGAATCATGATCTTGTTGTTCGAAAATTAGAGTAGTTTATGTTAGAAAGTTTTTGAAAAAAGATATGAAATTTTAATGTCAAATAAGATATTATATTTCCATTTCCTTAAAATACAAAAGCATCTTACCTCAACTCATACTTTCGAAAAATCCCTATAGACGAATTTGGACACTTAAATGGTAACAAGCAGTTGTCAGATTTTGTCATAGGGTCAGAAATGAAATTATATCTTCGCTAGGTAAGCTGCATTGTAATCTTTAGAGGTGTCAATGGCTCTATGTTGATATATTTTTAAGAAAAACGTGAAGTTATGACTAAAATTGATACAGTAACATGCTAATGAAGTAAGTAAAGCTCGCGATGCAATAAATATGACCAAATGTTCACAAAGATGTGCCTACTTATTTATACTCAACAGCTACGTTTGCTCCTATACTGCTTACATTCAAATTTGAGGTGTTCCAGTATCCATTATAAACTGTAATTGGTGCCGGCAGATTCTTTTTTCTTGGGAGCTTTCAAATAATAGTTATAGACTCAGAAGTTTACAGCTGATAATGAGATTTTTTTATGAAGAACTTCCACGGGCTTATGAACAGGTATTGTTATTTTTTTCTTTATTTTTTGGGTATTTTACCACCTCGAGCCAAATGGATCAGTCAGGGTTTATTTTTATGAAAATAGTTTTGCCTAATTAAAAAATATCACACAAATGTAAATATAAAAAGGTCGTTAATGTTTTCCACTTCATCTTCTGAACTTTTTTTGACTTTTCGCTTTAAAAGCTTTGACAGATCCAAGTGTTTTATGACTTTATATACCTACACTGCAATAAAGATCTGTTAATAAACAGTGGATGTAAAATAAAAACAATAATTGACACCGGACAACACACTTTTATGTATATATATTTCTCAAATAATTAATTGTATTTTTTTATATGTAATAGATATCGATATATAATTTACCTCAGAAAAAAATATACTAAAACATCGATAAGTAAAAAGAACAGCAAAAAGAAGAAAGCAATACAATTTTTGGAATAAACATTAACCTATAAAGTTTGAAGAAAATCAGAATTATTGCGTCATTATTCAGTAACTTTAGATCAACTACTGTGCAGTTTTAATATCCTTGCCATGGTGTTTCAAAACTATATCCCACCCTCTTAAGAGCATGCAAATAATAAAATATATATAATATGCTTCTTCTATTAATGTAATGAAATCAGTCATTGCTATTAACTTTAATTACATTTATAGAACTTGGTCAAAAGGTACACTGTTGACTTATCACTTTTTGGTTAATTTTAAATGTAAATCCCCCGAAAAAGTGACGTTTGTCAAGATAAAAGTAACTAGGCTAACATAACGACAATTCTCCTGACAAAGGAAACGGAAACCTTAAAAATTTGGATGATGATAGTGCAATCTAACACTAGGTATAAAACATGTTTCATGTGTATAAAATTATCGCAAATCTCAGTATATTCAACAATTTCATCCAGCAAGAAGAAACTCTTTTTATGTACCAAGATTTTCTAAGAACTTTCCTCCCACTAATTTTAAATGGAATCATCAATCGTTAATCGCAAATGATACGACCTACGTTGACGAAGGGATTAATGGATATAGTTATATCTCCAATAGCGCATGCAACAGATGCCCCAAAGATAATAATATGCACGTCGGCAAGTTGTACAATGCATTCAGAATTACATGATGAGCTGATAATGCAAAGTGAAAATAAGTGATATTGAGCACCTTTCTGCTAATCTCGTCGAAAATACTATAATAATAAAGGTTTAATTCTGTAATGTCTATTATTAGCGAAGATTAGAAAATTAAATCCAAAGAAAAAGATATAAAAAAAATTCAGAAGGAAAGGAAAAGCATAAAGAAAGTAACAGTTTTTAGAACTTTAAATATTATAAATACATGTATCATATAGTAGTTATAGTACACATTGCTTCATATTCTAACTTTAAACAAATTCCCAGATATAACATTTTGTATACAAGGTGATTCACAACTTATCCAAAAAAATTTGGGAATAGATGCAGCATGAGAAATGGAATCAATATCGTAAAAAATTTTTTTGTAAAATCCTTATAGTTTCCGAGAAAAAAAATATTTAAGTTATAGTACATTCAACCACTACATAGGCGTGGCCTCAGCGACTCCGAATACTGAGTTCGGATTTTACAATCGTCGTTGGGATATTTACCCGTTATATGTCGTGTTTACAATAGGTTTTTAGTAGTTAGTGTCAAAAATGGGTAGTTAGTGTAAAAAATGGTTTGCGTGTACTCGGAGTTGATGGATATCGTTTTAATTTATGGTGAAGCATTTGTGCTATGGTGAAACAAGATAACATTTCGTAGAAACTGAGTACAACGGACCCAGATGTGTTTACACATTGTTGGATAAAATTTTGAACAATTGTTGTAACATCGGGTATGTCAAATGATTTTATTATTCAAAAACACAAATTGATTTAATTAATTAATAAAGGCAAAAGCAGTTTAATTTGCCGATATAAAAGAGGTGCGATAAAATTCTATTTACATATTTCTTTCCTTGCGAAAGTTTTTGTCCGTTTTATCACACCGCCATGCCGGTCGTATTGTGCGAGGTCAGGTTTTACAGTGGACCAGTTTACAGTGCCGTACAGAAGTGTATTTTTAAATCATTTTCGAACTGTCCTTTTTGATTTTTTTCTTTACAAAATTGTATTTGTAAGGGTCCCCTGTACATCCAGAATTTTTTTTTGGATAAGTTCTGAATCACCCTATATATTGTGATATCCTCCTTGAATTTGTTCTTAATCTCTACTGACTTTCTTGAACAGAATGAATAATTTTACAAGAAAGAATTTACTTCAATCAAAATTTTATTAACACTGAATCTACTGAGCTGACAATGATGTAGTTCATAAAATAATAATGCAATATTATTACCACGTAATTGCATAAAAATTGTGTGTATTCACACAAACGCCTTGATTTTATTTCATGGTTAGTTGACTGAAAATGTCCTTGTTATGCTACTTAAATATAAAAATATTTAATAAAACAATGGGACAATTATCCATAACAGTTTAAAACAACCAACGTGATTAGTCACAAGTAATTCTATATAACAAAGAAGTAATCATTTAACTTTTCATTTTCTCATCCTTTGAAATAATACATGCTGTACCCATGGCATATAAATGCCTTCAGTTTGTTCTAGGCCCGTCTTACTAAAGGTTTCTAATATGATAAATGTAGAAATAAAAACTGAAAAGATCAATCATTAAAAATTTTCAAATATTTCACAATCAGGTTCAATCTGTATCTATTAGTTGCTACTTATTTTGAGGTTCGTCCTTAGTAGCTCAGAAATCCCGATTCACTCCTGTCCTGATGCATTTGATGAGTTGAAATGTTGAAGATGCTTTGTTTCTGTTTAGATTTTCCGGTTCCATTTAACATCCTTTTAAATACCTAGAATATTCAGAAAAGAAAATGTAGCATTTTCTTCAAATTCCGTGATTCAACATCAATTTCTTCTGGATCCTTATCTTAAGAGCCTTTTGACCTGATGATATAAAATGTGAAGACATTGCGATCTATAATAGAGATTTTCTCTCTGATGGCTAGCTCCGATTGTGATGATTAGGATTTGTCCAAAGAAGACAAAGAGAGAAATATATTTACAAGAAGTTAAACAAGCACTTCAATCTCAAAATCAATACTCAATTGAGATTAATAGTTGAGAAGTACACAGGCACGCGAAAATAACGAGACGAATGAAGATACTGATGAAGATGAGAAGATTGGATTACAAATTTTATGAAGAAGTATACTTCTACACAAACAATTAAAATCGACGAAGAATAGTAGTTATTCATCTAGAAAGTTGTAGATAACGGTGTGGCAACTAACCAGGAAATTGTACGAAATTCCTATTAAGAGCATAACTTTTTTACACCTTTACGAAACAAAAACTAAATCGGGAAAGTGCATTGGAATTATAAAGTAAGTGTCAAAGATAATATAACTGAATAAACAGTAGTTTCGTAGTGTTTACGTGAAGTTTGTAACTTTAGCAATTGATTTATATAATGGTATAATTATATTCTTAACTAAAATATCACAGAAGAATTTTGAAGAATAAAAAAGTTAAAATAATTTAATGCTCATATAATAACTGATTAGATATCACTGTTACCATTGTTATCACTGAAGCTTCTGAAGAATTTTTTCTGCTTAATTATATGGAAACAAAATTCATGGTCGTTATTTCTTCGTAAGAAGTTAGTAGTTAGCTCAAGAGTCGAGAAATCAATATCGCTTCCTCTGCAAGCAAATATATTTCCGTCCCCTAAAGTGATAACGCTTGTATGCACATTAATCCAGGAAAGTAATGAATATTTAAAG